GAGTGAAACCATCCGGTGTTTTTCTTTTTCTTTCTGGCTTATTTCACTAAACATGGTCCCTTCCTGCTCCATCCATGTTGCCACAACTGTTTGGTTATTTCTTATTGAATGTTGAACATTGAATTTTATCTTGTAGTGCTGGATATTTTTATATTCCTATAAATATTTTGAACTTTTTTCTGGGACATACTTAGCTTGGCAATAGTTTGATAACTTTTTGGTCTCACTTTTAAGCTTATTTATGTGAAACCAGAAAAGCATTCAGCCCAGGGTCAAATTTTCTTCCTTACTGAGGTCAGACATCTCTGAGATTCTAGTTCCTTGTAAAATATGGTTCTTTGGAACAAGAATGATTTCTGGTTCTCTGTGAGGCTGAGATATGTTTCTTCCTCTCCTTCCCTGACCTTAGGTAGCTCCCCCAGGCCTGTGCTGAGCGGGGTGGGTAGCTGGGCCCACCGGTCGGAGCGCTCTCCTGGGCAGCCCTGTCCGCGCCGGCTCAGCACCCTCGGAAGCCTCGCCCTGTGTTCGCCCCAGACTGTCAATGCTTCTCTGCAGCCAAGGAGCCCTCTGCCTGCCTGCCCTGCCCTGTGCCTGGCCTGCAGCTTCTTTCTAGATGGTGAGCCGGGCAGTCAGCAGCCCGCACTCGTCCCTGCTGCTCCAGGACCAATGTCCTTCGTTGTCTGATGTCCAACATCTTGACATTCTTTTTCAGTATTCTGTGTTTTCAGTTGTTTTGGGTGGGAAGGTAGATCCTTCTTCATGTTGGCCAGCAGTGGAAGTCCTCTCAGAGGAAAACCTTTGCACTTCATGCTTATTAAAATCATGAGGAAATTAGTGGTTGTGGCCTTATCTGTTTACCTCGCTGTCCTCCCCTTGAGAGCTTCACAAGTAGTTCTTAAAACGAACGTGGTATTTGTTGAGTGCCTACCACGTGCTGTGTTACATCCAGCCCCTGAAATGAGGGTTCAGTGCCTGCCCTGACGGGCCTCAGGGTCCGTGAGGGATGTAGACAAGTTCTCGTTGCTCGAACTAAAGGGACACTCATTTTGGAAGGCCTGCGGCCTCTCTGCGCCATGTAGCATGGCATGTGTGTTGTGTTAAGTGTGATAAGTGATTCAGCATCAGAATGGATGGCCTTTGGCCGATGCTTGTGAATTCTGCCTCCTTACGTGACCGGGTTGGCCGCCATTTCTCCACACCCACACTCCTTCCCTCCCCCACTGACGGGGGAGGAGCGTATTTATGCCCTTGGTGCCTGTCTCCTGGGTCTTCCACCGCCTGTGAACATTTTGTCCATCCCCACCTGAGCTTTGGTCTGTTGTTGGATCTCCTTTCACTTCATTTTTTTTTTTTACCGATGTAAGTATGTTAAAGACCAATATGTACAATTGGCTCATCACTGCAGCCAGAGTTTTTCAAGATTGTCTGTTTTTGAAAGTAAATTTTGATCGGTGATTGGGGAGGTGTAAAGGTGAGGGATCAGGGTGGCAGACAATGGAATTACATTATGAATGGCTTACCTTCCAGAGACTTCTCTGGATGATGAATGAGATGAGCCCGTGAGTAGTGTGGCCGGGCTGAGGAGCCCTAGTGACAGCTAATAACCTCCCAGCCGGCTGATGGGAGCTGGTGCGCAGCGTGGGTGGGCGCAGCCCGTCGGGAGTGCAGCGTTGCCTGGAAGGTGCAAGCTGTGGTTCTGATTTGGTTCAGGAATAACTGTGTTGTGTCCAGATCATGGTGCCAGAACGCCAGCAGCCCAGCTTTTATTCTGCCTGCCAGTGGTGACCAGAACCTTCCTGGGAGAGAGGGCCTGTGTTAGGTGGCTGTTGGCTCGTGAGGCCCTGCGTGCTGTGGTTGCCGGGAGAGCCCTGCTTTTCCTCAGGGAGCCCCCCGCCATCCCAGACACTGCGCCCTCATGGGGGAACATGCGTTCTTGCTCTGTGTGAGATCTCTTTTGAGACACACAGCTGTGCCAGTTTTCAAGCTTCTGGTTCCAGATGTCTCCGGCAGTCCTGCTTTTCTCAGATGCTTGGCCAGCGGACTGCACGGATGAATGGCCTGCCTGTCCCGAAGAAGCTGTGAGAAGCCCGAGTGTCTGAGACTTAACTAGCGTTTACTGAGCAAGCCCCTCCGAGCACTGGCTGTGCTCTTTGCAGACGTGGTGCAGGAGGCTGCTGACCTCAGGGCTCCTGGGTGACCCCAAGGGCCTAGTCTGGAGGGCCGAGGGGAAATAGGAGAGAAGCGGACCAGTTGACGTTTCACTCACTGTTGCCTCTCCACATTCCTCTGTTGGGGTTGATGGCGTGAGTCACCAAGCGGTGGGCATCCCTCCGCTTATAGACATGCCCTATTTTGAGTTCAACTTTGTGGTTTGGGAATGTATAATCATTTTCAACAAATACTTTACTGGGTGTACGAAGTGTGGTAGAGGCAGAGGGAGCAATAGCGTGTTACACGCATTTCTATCCTCTGCTCCTGTTTGGAAAGACCAGGCATGCTAAAAATGAAAAAAAATCTTAATAAGCTATGTCTTCATAAGAGAAAAAGCATAACTGCCCACACATAGTAGAAATGTATACTCAACTCTTAACCCCTGTGGGGGTGGGGCTTGGGGTGAGGAGACACACAGCAGAGGGAGGAAGGGCTCCGGCCCCTCCTGCAAGTGTGTCTGAGTTACTGGACGTGTTTGCCAAGCACCAGTATCGTCCTTTTAGAATCTCTAGTTCTTTATCAGTTAGAAGAGTGATGAAGACTAAAAGATTACACACACAGGAACCTTGAAGAGCTCTGTGTGGTAGTATGACTGACTTAAAGTTTCCTCATTCTTCCTTTCTAATATTATTTATACTTTCTCTCACGGATATAGCCAAAGACCTTGAAGACCAAAACCCCAAGATGCCAACAGGGATCATTGTAACACTGTTCCCATATGTTTACTGGGTTCTGGGTATAACACAGTGGCTCTCCCTTTTTTCCTCCTCACTCTCACCACAGTTCTGCTAAGTCTATTCTGTTATTGCTGTTGTTACTGTCGTTACTAAGTAAGATTATTCTGTTGTTATTACTAAATGAAAAGGTGAAACACTGGCCTGCCCCTTTCTTCTGTCCCTTGGCATTGTGCTCAAGTGAAGTCTAGAAGCAAAAGAAAGTTAGCTACTAACTGTTCAGTCATCCTGTGAAGACTGACTAGAAAAATTTAACTTAAGCTGATGGGGTCACAATTATATCAATGTCAATGTGGGCTGTGATCGCTTGTTTTAAAGCATCCTAAGAATATTTGCTGTAATTTTATATTTAGTTCTGTTGGAGAAAGCAATTAGATTATCCCTTCTCCCCATCTGGTGCAGTGAAGAAAACTCTTCTGCTTGGCTTACTTTATATGAAAGAAAATGAAAATATCTAAGTTATTTGTAATTCAGGTGAAATTGTTAAATCTTGCCTTTCCCAAATTTTGTACTTGGAATCTACATCCCCTTATATGCATTTAATTCCCTTTGAAATAGTAGTGTCCTAAAGACAGTAAGGAAGCCAGAGACGGAAGGAGAGCTGTCATTTCTAAATGAACATCTTTTTCCCCCCTATAGCACGTGTTTGATGATCTCAGTGGCTCAGTGTCCTTGTCCTGGGTTGGAGATAGCACTGGGGTAAGTAATACTTTGAATCAGTTAATACAGCCTTGCAAGAAGATGTAAATTTGGGGAGTTCAGCTCAGAACCGTGTTCCTTTCTGACCTAGTCTCCAGCCTCAGGTGCAGGAAGTTGTGCTTGGTTTGATTTTGCTTTGAAACTGGGAGCATCTGAGGACCACCTTTCCCATAATAGAAAGACACTGCTGAGCTCTAGGTGACTGCCTAGCATCACCATGAGTGGGAGGAGGAGGAGAGGGGTGCTGAGTGCTGAGAGAGGAGCCTTGCATTACTTGGGGAAACACCCTGTGGAAACCGCATGCTCACATCTTGGTATTTTCCTCCAAATTGTATTGATCCTGGATCACTTCCCACATGACCCACAGGTAGCACTGACGGTCTGTGGTGCGCACAGGCTTGTGGTTGGTCCACTCCTTCTCTTGTCCCCTCACCGCAAAGGAGGCACTGCCAGGGTTGGAGGGAAGGAGGAGAGTCAGTCCCTCCTTTCCTCTTCTCGCCTGTGGTCCATCCCAGCAGGCGGGTGCTGACCACGCGTTGGCCTCAGATCTTGAACCAGCTCAGTGCTACTGGCTCTGCGGTGCTGCCTGCATGGAGTCAGGGGCCATAACTGGCGCCCTCGGTATTTCCATAGTGCATGTGTCGCAGCTTTGAGGCACAGTGACTCTGTCAGCAGTGGGAAGACGTATGATTCTGATGCTGAAGAGCAAGTTACAAACATCATACTCTGAATAATTTTTAAATATCTGATGGAATTTCCTTAAACATGTCTTTCTCTAAGATTTGAGTTGTTCCCTAATTACCATGATTTGTCCACTTATCAAGATAGTTAATATCAGGATTTCTTTTATGGCTATTTGAGACTCTAGCTGCTCACTCTAATCCATCAGAATCTTCTCCTTACATGTTTTTTCAAAAAAAAAACTAGTTAAAATATTCACTTCTGCAGAGAGAAACTAAAAAGGATAGAGATGTGTGACACAGTGACCTCCGTCAGAGCATCCACAATACATAGCCTCTGTTAGCAGAGGTGATTCTTGTCGGAGAATATTGTGCAGCAACATGGCTGCCATCTAATTAAATCCCTTCTTGCTGTGATGTATAGTTGATTAGTTCTCTCTCCTTCAAGTGTAGGTGGTAATGGGACCACCTCAGCGAAATGCGTTGAAACCCTAAGTGGTTGTAAGTCCTAGCAACTTGCTTTTGGATGTGTCACAGTGGAGACCATTCCAGAGGGACTCTGAGCAGTTCTTCCATTGACTTAACTCCATCACATGCACACATGAATCGGACTCTCTTTCTTATTGACTGTGTACTTTTGTCTTTCCCCAGGTCATTCTAGTCTTGACAACCTTCCATGTCCCACTGGTAATTATGACTTTTGGACAGTCCAAGTTATACCGAAGGTGAGTCACATGCCTTGTGACTGGGGCCAAATTGGGAATGTGCTCCTCCATGTTGACATGGTGGAGACGAACTGTGGAAAGATCTAGCC